GCGATCTCCTCATATGATTGAAAATTCGCGATCCCCAAAAAATTCGCGATCTCCTCATATGATTGAAAATTCGCGATCCCCTCAAATTCGCGATCTCCTCATATGATTGAAAATTCGCGATCCCCACAAATTCGCGATCTCCTCATATGATTGAAAATTCGCGATCCCCTCAAATTCGCAATCTCCTCATATGATTGAAAATTCGCGATCCCCTCAAATTCGCTATCTCCTCAAATTCGCGATCCCCTCAAATTCGCGATCTCCTCATATGAGGGAAAATTTGCGATCCTCTCATATGAGGGAGAATTCGCGATCCCCTCATATGAGGGAGAATTCGCGATCCCCTCAAATTCGCGATCCTTTCAAATTCGCGATCCCCTCATATGAGGGAGAATTCGCGATCCCCTTAAATTCGCGATCCCCTCATATGAGGGAGAATTCGCGATCCCNCTCATATGAGGGAGAATTCGCGATCCCCTCAAATTCGCGATCTTCTCATATGAGGGAGAATTCGCGATCCCCTCAAATTCGCGATTCCTTCAAATTTGCGATCCCCTCATTTGAGGGAGATTTCGCGATCCCCTCAAATTCGCGATTCCCTCATATGAAAAAGAATTCGGGATCCCCTCAAATTCGCGATCTCCTCATATGAGGGAGAATTCGCGATCCCCTCAAATTCGCGATCCTTTCATATGAGGGAGAATTCGCAATCCCCTCAAATTCGCGATCCCCTCATATGAGGGAGAATTTGCAATTTCCTCAAATTCGCGATCCCTTCATTCGAGGGAGAATTCGCGATCCCCTCATATGAGGGAGAATTCGCGATCCTTTCAAATTCGCGATCCTCTCATATGAGGAAGAATTCGCGATCCCCTCAAATTCGCGATCCCCTCATATGAGGGAGAATTCGCGATCCCCTCAAATTCGCGATCCCCTCATATGAGGGAGAATTCGCGATCCCCTCAAATTCGCGATCTCCTCATATGAGGGAGAATTCGCGATCCCCTCAAATTCGCGATCCTTTCATATGAGGGAGAATTCGCAATCTCTTCAAATTCGCGATCCCCTCATATGAGGGAGAATTCGCAATCCCCTCAAATTCGCGATCCCCTCATATGAGGGAGATTTCGCAATTTCGCAATGCGAAATTCTCCTATGAGAAAATATTCGCAATTTTGCAATACAAAATCATCTTATGAGGGAATAATGGCATTTTCGCAATGGAATATTATCTTATGAGGGAATAATGGCCTTTTCGCAAGATAAAAGTATCTTATGAGGGAAGAAGTGATTTTTCGCAAGATAAAATCATCTTATGAGGGAATAATTGATTTTTTGCAAGATAAAAGCATCTTATGAGTATTTAATTATCTTTTTGCAATATAAAATTATCTTATGAGGATATAATTAATTTTTTGCAAGATAAAATCATCTTATCAAGATAATAGTATGTTTATTTTTTTTTTGATCTTACCGATTTGATTCGACTCGACTCGATTCGATCAACCAACTAATCGGCTACGCGAAAAAGAGACAACAATAGATGCGATACATAAATAACGAATTAAAATCAAACTCACAAAATAGTGAGAGAGAGAAATGGAAAAACAACACGTGACTAAAGTCACGTGAGCTAAAAGGGTAAAACAGAGAATATTATACATATATAGTATATGTAATATTCTATATCTATATATAATACAAACAGATACGCATATATGTATTTATACATATATATACCGGAATCACGTGACCGAATCAGTAACACCGCCGCGGTCGCGCGGCCGATGTCAGTGATCCCGATTCGATTCGGCTCGATCAACCAACTAACCAATCGGCAACGCGGAAAAGAGGCAACAATAGGTGCGATATATTCGACTCCAAACGTGCACTTCTCGGTCCAAATGCTTTTTTTAATATAGGAGGAGGAGGATAGGAGGAAACCCAGACAATGCGAGACACACGTCAAATGATCAACTAAGGACGAACAAATCGCAGAATTAAGGGAAGAAAAGTATATATATTTAAAAAGGCAAGTAAATATATTTAAGTAAATATTATATATATATAATTTTTTTTATATCGTGTCTTGTACATCGTCGGCGGCTGTATTAATAATACGATCTTCTCTTTCAGTTGTATTACGTCCGAGTCGGTTTAGATAATTCTTGATTAATTGCGGAATAACGATGTTATTGTAACAAGCCATACCAATTAGAAGAATTACGAAGCCGATGAGCTACAAGATAAAAATTAAGTGATATTTCACATGCACTACTTATTTTGTTTTTGTTTTAACAATACACACAAGTTTTAGTTATACCTGCATATAATGAAAAGTTTGCCACTGAAAGCTTAATGAAAAGATCCATATTATGATTGTACGAACACTGTCTAAGATCATTCGTGTTGTAGCACTCATTTCCTTTGTAACACTGATACCAGCAAAATTAAAGAAAGCAATACTGAAGGCTATACCTGTAATTTGTAATTATAACATGTGATCAAATAATTAATATAAAAAGTAGAAAACCTGAAAAAACGCAATAAACTGACCAATAACAGCTATCACCAATTTGTAACTGCCTCCTATCTCGGTGAAAGCCTCTGAAGTGGCTTCAAGTGTACCACGTGAATTGTCTGCAAAAGGCGGCGGTGCGGCGATATAATTGAGAGGAATCAGAGCGAGAGAAATTCCGATAACTCCAAAAATACCTGCAACAGTATATATATAACAAACAGAATGATTTAAACTTTAACCAACATGTCTTACATATTTAAATCTTTGCAATTAACGCCTATGCTCAACGATTTTTATATTCCACTCGATATTTCATGCTTGAAACGAGTTTACCTGAACAACTAGACATAGTCTTTCATAATGAAAAAGAGAAAGTTGAGATTATTTTCAAGCATACCAATGCGCTAACTCGATGGATAATCTAGGTTGAAAGTTTATATAAAACAATTATAAGTTTATATAAAAACAAATACAAACCCTCCCACCCAACAGCTTGCAAGGCAGGAATATCCTGTTTTCCCACATAATTTTCTTCAACAACCATCTGAACAGCTGTTATTATCTGAACATAGTTGTTTTTAAATTTATGATTTCTTATAGTAATTCCACATGCAATAAATATCCAAAAGCTTTAAGTATAATAAATAATAATGATGAAAAAAACATCTACCTGCGCAAGTATAATAAGCAAGTCACCAGTAATTATAGAATTAGCACTGGTATCAGTATCTTCCTTTGTTAAGATATCACTAGCACCGACCAATGCCAAACCTGTTATAACAAAACCAATGCCCGTCCATTCTCTCAATTTCAATTTTCTATTAAGAAATGCAATAGAAAATATTCCTGTAAAAACAATCACAGATCCACGCAACATCTGGAAGCTACTGGCATAAGTCATATTCAAGCCAATGTACATTATGGATGTGGCGCACATATCACATAAGGCAGGTATCAATAAAATGAAGGGATTGAAAGTTCTGGAACCTTTAGTCAATACATTATTATCAACAGAACCATCCTGCAACATGACTAATATTATTGTTTAAGTTTTGTTTTCTTAGGTATATCAATGTATAAAATCATTAAATACTTACATTTCTTCGATTGTAATAATAGTAAAAAACTTTAAACGCTAAGAAACAGAGAGCCTCTCCAAGAAACATAAACAATGATTGCATAAATGGATGATTAAAGTACCTAAGTTGTTCATCTTCACCAAGAACCACTTGTCGATCTGCATATCTAAAATGTAAAATATAAAATTAAAACACAAAATTTCAATATGACATACACACATACACACACACACACATTGCATCATATGCATTTTTTCTCTATTAATAGTATCATTTTTTATTTACGAGTTTTATTTTCACTTTCCATATCGCAATTTTTTTTTTGCAATAACAGATGTACTTACTTGACCGATAAAGTATTAAATGAGCCTGTAACTATTTGTAGCGCAGCCAGTGTACACTGATAGTTGGTCCATACCATTGTTCCTCTGTAGATGAGTAATAGCAGATAAAGACACGTTCGGCAGATAGCACTTTTTTATTTCTACTCACTCTTTGAAAATAAAACTGTATATCGCCAGGAAGATCTATTTGTTGAACAAATTACCAACCATCGAGCAGGTCGAACGACTCCGTGCATAAAATTGTTTTATCAAAAAAAAAAGAATCAAAAGACTTCACAATTCTACATGTCTGAAATAAAAACCATGTGAAATCATACACTTAATGACACACACACTGGAAGAGAAACGGTCTGCTAAATGTCTGACTAATTGAGTTTGAGATGTGCAACAAAGACAGATATAGATGTCTAGCGCACAGTGAATCAAGGTCTCTTACGCGCTTGCGTGAGATATGAGCGCGATTAAATGGATTATAGCGTTTTAAAAGTTGACAGGAGAAAATGACCACATTTTGAAGAACATTTTAAAGTATGCGCAACAACTAGCGCAACAGTAAGGACACAAAAATGTCGAGTAAAATTTGTATAAAACAGTGAGAAATAAACCAAGTGACTGATCGATCGGTGTTGTGCGACAGAGAAATCGATAGGTCGACAAATGTGAATCTTCGAGAGATCAAACGCGATATCGAAGTATTCTCTTCTCGTTAATTGTGTATGCATATACAGTAGTGTCTCGAAAAAAATTTCGAGGGAGGTGGTATATGTTCCGAGAATTGCCGGCTGTTATCTCTGATTGGCTCGACCACGGGCTCGACCTCATCAATTCGCGCGAAGCCTCGGTGAAGCACTTTTAGAAATTGGTGGGGACTCCCGGAAAAATATCGTGGCAAAAATGCGGAAAATTTTCGAGGTACTACTGTAATTATATATTTTACATGTGCTTAAAATGGAAACGACCGTCCTACTGGTCTCTCGTGGCCTGAGTGCAAGAGTATGCGAACATGAATGTTTCAAATTCTAATCCGCTCATCATCTTAGGATTTTTTCCGGGATCGGTCCCTTTCGATCGAGTTGTGATCCGTTGATTGGCAAACCGAATCGCGGGCCTCCAAAAAATTAATTTGCGTGTAAACTGGCGTATGGAGCTAGCTCAGGCCTAAACACCATAAATGCACCAAACCAATTCAAAAAATGAAACAGATAAATCTCTAAGAGAAAAAAAGACAAAAAAGCTGAGGTGTGGCACAGATAAAAACTTTTTTTTGTAATATATATTTTATATTTATATATTGTACAATTGTTTACAATGTTCTGTAATTACATAAATAATTTAAAAAGTTCTTCATTTTTTGTCAGTTTGCTAAATTCTAATTATCTAAACTATTTTATTGTTTTTTTTTTTGCTTTAAATAATTTTGAATATAATTTATTGTGTTTACATATTTCTTGTTTACTCTTGAATGCATTTTTTTCCCGCAAAGGACTTAAATTGTTTGGGGCCTGTATGCGACGTCAACCGATACTGTCGATTAAATCTCTCTCCAATGGGAGGGGAGTAACGAAGAGAGAAGAGAGTCGGTGGATGCCCGTCAGCTGACGAGGATGCTTCGAAGAAGTCTCGTGGTTAGCAGCCAGCGATATAGACGACGACGTCGAAGAGGAGCTTAGATAGTTTGTTGTCCGAGGGTTGTTTGAGCCCTGCGGGGTTTGGTGGCGAACAAAGGTTCGACGATGTTCTGCGCAGAAGGCTCGTCGTCGAAAGGCGACTTTCTGCAACAGAAAAAAGCCGCGCGGGAGGATCGGGCCCACGAGAAGCGCAGAGAAGCCGCGGCCACTTTGATTCAGGCCCATGTCCGGGCCTGGCTGGCCCGTGTCCAATTCACACAGCGAATTTTGTAAGTGCGAAATACGACGCGAAAATCATTTTTTTTTTCTCAATAAAGTGGGGTGACGAAGCTGCCAATAAATGTGTAGCTTTGACAAACATGAATGTGAATTTGTTTATCTGTACACATGAGAACGTGAGAACATGTGTACTTCGTGTAAAGAAAGGAATTCCTTACCTTGGAGTTTTAAGAAAACAATTTATGCAAAATTATTTTTATCACAAAAATTTTATATTATGCAAATATTTGTATTGTGTGAATATTTATATAAACTTGATTGGTACTTTAAAATAATTTTTTCAAAGCTGCTCAATATTGTGTTTATCAGTTGGAAATGTAAACGAATACTGTTGATAGCAAATCCAATTAAATCAGCAGTATTCCAGACAAATATAAAGATAAGAGAGTTTAATCTCTCCTTCTCTCTCAATATAGTGCTAATATAATACTGTTTTGTGAAAGAAACATGTCGAAATCTTTTAAAATTAAAAGTTAGTCAGTAAAAGAGATACTGTGTGATCGTTAAAAATAAATTTATATTGTTCTGGACTAAATATTGTGACAAAATATTTTTATATAATTTCTAGAAAAGAATTTGATAACTATTTTTTTGATGAGTCTGGAACTGATAACGCAACAGTGGAATTAAAACCTGCTCTAGAGGTGTACAGAATCGTTTCTCGAATTTTGTTAATATACAAAAAGGAGAGAGATCAAGAAAGAATAGAAAAATTATGCAGGTGAGTTCATATTGCTGTACAACTACTTATATATTTTTTTCCCGGCGAAAATCCAAGATGTGCTTTTAGAAGAGAAATTTTTCAGATATCTTGTTCTGACTCTCGATTCCGAATCTCCAAAGATATCTTATGTCGGAGTAGCGCTGAACAAGGATCACTACATATCATGGATATCACAAATGAAGACAATTCTCTATCACTGTCTTTCGGGCTTAAATTGTTTGAAGCCAGAGAGAGTGTCGGACCACAAGTCTATACTGCTGCGATTGCATACATTGGTGAGTTTTACCTCGCCGGGAACGTGGGCTATACAAAAAGTAAAAGGCATGGACCAATTAAAGGCTGGCATGAACCAACTGTGCGCGAACATTATGGGCCACTTGGTCAACAACGGATTTTACACGACCATGCAGGTAATGATAACAACAAGAAACTTTTAAATAAATAACTCAATTTTTCCACTTTTAATTAATTCTAAGTTACATTTTTTCTTTATATTAGGCTTTGTTAGTAAAAGGATTGGGTAGATCAAAACTCGCTTTGAAACCAGTTACACTATCAGCAGCGGTCACACTGACACTGAGACCACTGATCTCTTCACAGATGTCCGACAAGCTGGTATCGTTGTTCCTAATCAATATTTTTAGCGTGCCAGCTCTCGTTTATCATTTGAATGTTTTATCGCCAGAGGTAAAAACATATTTCTTAGTTTTATCATATTATTATATTACATTGTCTTCTTATAAGACTTTTAACATTTACTTGCAGTGCATTTCGTCGTTTATAACAAACAACCTGTTTGCTAGAAGTTTGGAGCTGTTGAATTCCGAGCAGAATTTAAGAATTGTGTTTAATGCCCTAGAAGGCAGTTACGCACTTTGTTTGCTCGCTAATTTGATACAGCTGGCAAACATCGAGAAAAAAGAGGTGCTAAGAGAACTCTGTTTCCCTTCCTTCACGGTAAGTTGTGTTAGAAATCTTTTCCACATTTATCGAAACTCTTGTAAATTTATTTATAATCTACAATATTCTGCGAATGCTTTAGTTCGTTGTGACAAGAATGTTAGAAGCATGTCAACAATATGTGGTCGCAAAACGGAGTAATTTGACACACTGGCATCCCGTACTAGGCTGGTTCGCGCAAACAATCGACACCTCGTTGCAAGAATCGATCCCTTTCGTGAAATTTCAACTGGCTTGTCTTTGGACGGGTAGAATAGTCACGCACTTAATCGGTGAGTTATTAATTTTACATATTGATATTTATTACAAAAATGTGTTAGTGATTTCTTTCTTTTATACACGTTTCGGGTGTTCTGTTTGCTTTTTCCAGAACAGCCACTGACCGAACTCGTCGAGAAAGAAGTGCCACCTCCGGTAGAACAGCAAAGCAGCTCTTCCGTGAGTGCCAATATTTTCAGACGTGCTTTTCTAGAAGCTCGCACCAACAGGAACAACAGCACAAAGAACTACAGGAAGCTTGGCAACCCGGAAGCTACTAAGATAGCTTTGATTTGTTCGTTATATCAAACAGCGCTGCACACACTCACGCAAATGAAGATCGAGATACTGACCGGTATGTATAATACATTTGTGTCTTGTAATATATACACATAATCCTAATTGGTGTGTTAACGAAAACAGGACTATGCTACCAAGGCAAGATTTTATATCACATGTGGTTATTTCTGACCACCCTGGGACCGCATTGTGGTTTGAAGGCATTTCTAGATCTTTTGGTAGCAAACACCAAGTGCACAGCACCTGAATTTCAGATGTTGATATTGTTTGCCGACTGTATGACGCATTATGTTACGTAAGTGATATGATTTTCTTTTATCAAAAACTTATTTAGATTTGTATCATATTCATAAACGGCGATTTTTTGATTTCTTAATTGCAGTATTCTGGACGATATGGAGATGTACGAGCAGCAAGATCCTTTCAAGCTTACAGATTTCATCACTATGTCGTATTTTCTGAACCAGTTCTTGTACAAAGCTGTTCTCACTAATCTGTTTGGTAAGTGAACAATTTCTAACATTCTTGTTGAATCAACAAACTAATCATCTTCTGTTTTTTTTTTTTCTACAGATGTGAAATCGGTATCCAGTAATCCTTTGTTTATCTCGCTTTATATTCTTCTGATGGCGATCTATCGACGTGATTGCCGCAGAACATTCTGTCCGGAAGGTCACTGGTTGGCGAAGGTAAATATCTTCGTTCTCTTGTCTCAAATATGTATTGCGCGAAAACGTTTTTACTCTGTTACGGATGTAATTTAAAATTATAAAAGTTTGCTCCTTAATATTGTAGTTTAATTTCTTTGTTTTTGAAAAACAGGAGGTACGAGTGTCTGGTTTTCTGGCAGACTTGGAGAAAGGTCGACGCGGAGCGGCGCTTTTACTCTCGAAGATGCCCCACGTCATTCCTCATTCTGAGCGAGTCGTATTGTTTCGCAAACATATAGCTGACGAGAAAGCAGTAATGGGTCTGACCGAGAGCGCTTGTAATTGTCCACCGACTACTCTCATCGTTGTGCACAGGTCATTTGATGCGTTTTTTTATGTGATTTAAGCCAGTTACAAAAAAATTGAAAAAGTAATTACGACTATGAAATCTTTTCACAGAACGCGGATAGTTGAAGACGGTTACAGACAATTAGCCATGTTACCGTCGCAAGCATTAAAAGGTGTGATCAGAGTACGTTTTGTAAATGAGCAGGGCTTAGCCGAGGCCGGCATCGATCAGGATGGCGTTTTCAAAGAGTTCCTGGAGGAGACAATAAAGCGAGTGTTCGATCCATCTTTGAATTTATTTAAGGCCACTAGTGAGAATCGCCTCTATCCGTCTCCTACGTCTTTTATGCAGGACAATCATTTGCAACTGTTCGAATTTGTTGGGCGGATGCTCGGCAAAGCGGTTTACGAGGTGAAATCTTCACGACATTTGGTTTTTAACTGACATTTAAAAAGTTCTAGAAAAAACAAAATTTTTTTTTGTTTTTTCAGGGCATTGTTGTGGATGTGCCTTTTGCATCGTTTTTTGTATCACAATTTTCCGGACAAACTGGCGGCGCGTTATACAGTTGGCTGGACGAACTCGCCTCTCTAGACCGCGATCTTTATCGTAGCTTGACTTTGGTGAAACACTACAAGGGCGATATACGTCAATTAGAATTGACATTCTCGCTCGACGAAGACGTGCTTGGCAAACTGGTCACGCACGAGCTCATCCCGGGAGGACGCACCACTGCCGTGACCAATCAAAATAAGATTCAATACATCCATCACATGGCGCACTACAGAATGTATCATCAAATCAGAGAGCAGACCGCCGCTTTCATCAAGGGATTTCGTTCTATCATCAATCCTGAGTGGCTGTCACTGTTCTCGACGCCCGAAGTAAGAATTTAAAACCGCTTATTTGTGATATACAGTCAAACCTCGATAACTCGAAAACCTGTATAAAAGACGAAAATTTTGTTCATTCCCTTCCGCTCCGGGAAAGGAAAATAGAACTTTGATTAGTCGAAACCTCTACAACTCGAAGATTTTAGCTCTTTCCTTGAGATTCGAGTTTTATCGAGGTTTGACTGTATTATGGCACATATTAGTTAAATGAATGAGGATGAGTTTTTTTTTAGTTACAGAGATTGATCTCGGGTGATAATGTTCCTTTGGATTTGCGAGATTTACGAAAGCACACACAATATTACGGCGGTTTCCACGACAGTCACCGAGTGGTATGCTGGCTGTGGGACATTTTGGAAAAAGATTTTACAGAAGAAGAAAGAGGTTTATTCCTAAAGGTATCGACTATAATAAAAAGTTTATAACTTTTGTCGTACTGCAAGAATTATTTCTAATATGGTTTTTCTAATATTTATTCTCTATACCAATCATTACATTAATGATTGATTTTTTGCAACAGTTTGTGACGAGTTGCTCGAAATCACCGTTACTCGGTTTTGCTCACTTAGAACCACCTTTCTCTATACGATGCGTGGAAGTATGCGACGATGAGGACACTGGCGATACGATCGGTAATGAATATTACACAAGTACTGTTGTCGCATTTTATTAATCACTTAATGTAATTTATTATTGAAAATTCTAACGAGTCAGGCAGCGTGATCAGAGGTTTCTTCACGATTCGCAAAAAGGATCCACAAAATCGACTGCCCACCTCGTCGACGTGTTTCAATTTGCTCAAGCTGCCGAATTATCAGAAGAAGAGCACGCTGCGGGAGAAGTTGCGCTACGCTGTTACAAGTAACACCGGTTTCGAACTTTCCTAGATTCGTGTTATTGACCGCACAATATTCACCTCAAACGCAGAAAGGCGACGAGCAAATATCAGCACGAATTTATATCGGAATATTGCGATAGATTTAAAAAGTGAATAAGATTGCCTATCGGAATTTGTCGCAAAAAGTTTCAAAAGAGCTAATACGACCGCTGACCTATTATTGACTTTATATAAAAATCGTCAAATATAGTGCCTAAACGTATTTCCGATTCGGTGTAATTTATATCCGATTAAGCTCGTCGCTTTGAACTCTGATTCTCAGACGTGTGACCGTCTGACGGAAGGAATGATGTCACGATTTTTTGTTTTGAATGTTGAAACGATGTTGCGATATTTTATTCGAACGACTACAGATAAACATCGCGAATGACGTCAGAATGTACAATATATACAATAATAAAATGCAAAGAAATAATTGTTAAGTACATGCATATATCTAAATAACTAAGTACATTTCGTTGTACGACGAGAGAATGAATGAATATTTTAGAGTGAAGCCTGTTTACGATATTTTTCGTGAACATACATATACACACACACACGTGTACACATATACATATATATTAACGATGTGAAATACACTGTACCTCATGAGCTTAATAACTGCTGAGATGATAATTGTGCGCTTGTTAGTGAATAGAGTCGTTGATCAAATCGTTACATTAAGATTAAGGGGGGTGGTAAACGTGTATTTTCGTAAATAGCAATCGCGTTAAAAAACATTACATTTATCGCGGATTTTCCAACGACTAATTAATCAGATATTCAAGCACTTCTCGAGTTGAATTGAGAAGTGAAGAAAAAAATTAACATCTTACGTGTGTCTCTTAGTGACATGTTAGAATTATTGTGCTTATTCATTTCAAACTAATATTGAAATGATATTTTGTAATTGTAAATGTCCACAAGCTTATTTGCATTTATTTTATTATATATAGGATTTTTGTAAATTTTTGTAAATTTTAATACATATATTTATAATCCTGCTACATTGCTTAGAGACGTATGAAATAAAAACAAAAAATAACTAAAATAAATTTATATAAAGATCGGCAATTTTACACATATCGGGGATATGTGCCGACACTTGGGAGAGATTTACCACCCCTGCGTTAACGTTTTCTCTCGAACGGCGTAATATTTCTGTGAACGAACTAGTGCGCGTGCAAAAAAAAAAAAAAAAAAAAAAATGAGTGTCCGTGAGCAATCAAAAATCTATCTGCGAGTTTTTAAAAATTGTTTTCAATACGAAGAGTAAAAGAGCGCAGTAGAGCGTGGCGCGAGAAAACCGCCGATCTATTTTACACGATATTTTCACAAGATTTTTGTACAAATTTTTGACACGGCGTATAATCAGATCACCAATTTGGGACGATCCGAAGTTGCAATTTCCACGGGCGCTCGCAAACAAACAAACAAAAAAAAAAAAACGTGTGTTCGTTCTTGTCGAAAGAGATCGTCAGACAAAATCTGAGAGAAAGATCGACGGAGAGAGAGAAGTTTTGCTATAATAAAAGATTCCGCCTCTGCTGTAATCGCAGTGCGGACTTATTCACGTGTGTTAAACAAATAAATATCGAAAAAGGGCACAAATAAGAAAAAAAAAACTTCACGTAATAATACTGCGTGATAACAGGGCAGTAATAATGTTGTTATTCCTCTCTTGCCTCATTTCCGGGGGAACGTGTTCTTTTAAACAGAGGAAGATGATGCGAGAGACAGAGGAAATTTAATGATAGACCAAAGATAGAGGCGAACGATTCGAGATGATAATCTTTGCATATTTTCCTACAAGATTGGGCGTGTGTGTTGTGAAACAACCCTGCGTTCACGCAGCATTGTAACTGAATTAAGATGTACATCAAACTCTTATCTTACACAGTGTACAAGATAAGATGTATAACACTCTACTGAAGTTCAGATTTGTCTTTGTTTTTTTTTTTTTTAATATTGTACACAAATTGATATTTATTGCGAACACATTGTTTTTGCTAGAAATAAGTGACACGCGCGTATGTAGTAACTGTTATCGAAAGTGCAATATAATTGTAATTTGTTATATATATGTGTATGTAATATTTATTTTTTAATTTTGATATGTGTAAAATTTAATTGGAATTTTGTTAAATATTTATGTATATACATATAATTTACAAATGATTTATATTTAGCTTTCGAGGTTTTAGGTGAACGCAGGATTGACGATTGTGTACATAGCGTTCGTGAGACGAAGTGACAAATGTTTCGGTTTGATGAGTTACTCTCGTTACGTTTTGATTACTCGTTACGTATAAAACAATAAGTTTACAAAAAATGGTTAAAAAACAAAAAAAAAAAACAATCTAAAGATTATATCAGGAGTAAAGCTTTTTTGTGATTGTAAGACGAATTTTTATTCACATCGCAATAACGAATTGTGCATTTAAGAAGTTCAATAATTAATGAGACTGGTATATTCATTTAAAAAAAAAAATATTTAAAAGATAAAAAATATACGTGACAACGCGCTGTATAGCGAGTTTCTCTTACAATCGCAAAGCGAGTAAAAAAAAAGACACCCGTATAAATCGCTCGCTTCGATTATGCAACGGCCACACGTTTTACACCACGTATAATCGACGATAAATTTATTGAAGAAACCTGTACAAGAAAAGAAGATTCTGTATAAGGAGGAGAAAGAAAAAAACAAATTCGCTAATTTCATACGATCAAGATTACAACAATCGTGTAAAATATATACACACGTCGCAAAAGCTATTTGTGTTGTGTTCGCTTTCCTTGTGTAATCCTTATCCCGTTTCGGTTGTGCGAAAGAAACTTGACGAAATTGAATTGGCAAATAGAGAGAGTGTTTAGAAAGAGATCAAATTTCGCAAAGAAAATAATTTTTAAGATTTGCCAAACGTTGTTTTGATAAAAAACAATGTTTTTAAAATTTGTATTCTTTGATATTATTTTATCGCAGTTGTATGTTTGTATCTTATATTATATTTAAACATTTTTAATCAGTTACGCATAAAAATGCGTTCAATATCTTTGAATATTTGTATTTTTTCTTATACTTATGTTCGAGAGAAAAGTAGGTAGGGGAAAAATAGCCGCGAAGAATTAAAAATTGCGCGCATCCAAGATGGCGCGGTGAGATCATCGCAACGCCGTCACGTGATCGCCTTTGTGTCGGTGCTGCAGGACGCAGCAGTGGTGCAGGACAGCGCGCAGCTAGCGGCGTTAGTGAGCAGCAAGCCGTGATTGCGAGTAGACGTGTGCGTCGTCGGCGGAGCGTGGCTCGATCTCTCGCGGCTACGCGAGAGACTCCTTTTTTCCCCTCTCTCTCTCTCAGTCTCTGTGTGAGTGTCTCTCTTTTTCTCTACTTTTCGTCACGTTCATCTGTCACTATCTGTCACTCGGTCTCGCGGCGTGTGTCGCGCGTGTTACATCGTGCTCCGATCAGAACGCTATTTCGCGTGTGCTCCCTTGGTGTGCATTAGTGCTCTCTCTCTCCTCTCTCTCTCTCTCTCTCTCTTCCCCGCGTGTGCTCTGAATTTTAACTCCGAAAGAAGGCGGTGTACTTGCGCGCACATAGTTGTAGCGCACAGTACTCGTGGAAACTCGTGCGTGCGTACGCGACAAACGGAAGGGGAACAACCACACGTTCGCGCAGTGTCGGTACGTTGGACTCGTCTCTCTCGGAAGAGCGTATCGCGCGCGCGGTATTTTGTAATTGTGCGGAACAACCGCAGAGCTCTCCACGTTTTCTCGTTGTTCAACGTCGTCGACTCTCCTTTCTCCGTCGCGTGTCTCTTAGAGGAATCAAAGCGCCGCCTCCCGCTTCTACACCACGTTGCCTTCCCCTTCAGTCACGTACCCCCCCGGAGAACAGCAGCCGACGATGCTGTTATGAGACCCGCCGCCGAGTGTGATTGAACGAACGCGACGCGACGAGGAGAGAGAGAGAGTGGGGCGGACCGTGATTGGAGCGTACGTACAGTGTGACGGGTGTTGTGTGTGCATAGATGCGTGCGTGCGTGCATGCGTGTATCAAACATAACCTAAGTGTTGCCGAGCGCGCTAAGTGCTGTTTGCTGTCACGCTGCTGATATCGGACGATAACGAAGGGAATATACATGTATAGACGCGTATTCGTATTGACGCGAGACACTGACAGGCTCGCCGGGATCAGGACGAACAGGTTACAACAGTAACGGTGTGTCCTCGTCAACAGTGTGAGCGCGTGACAAGGCGAAGAAAAGTAAGAAGAAGAATATATATATGTTACACATATATTGTATCGCTTATCATTTTAACGATTAAAGAAAGCCGCGCGCTTTCTTTCTTCTCTTCTGTGACTCGCAGCTGATGCGAATTTAATTAAAAAGCGCGCAAGCACAGGACAGCAAACGTGAAGAGAGTGTGCGGCAACAGTTTCCTTCCAACGTGCGAAAGAAAACAAGTGAAATTATGCTCTTCGCGTGAGGAACCTCACGTGTCGATCTGACATCGATCGATTATCTCGTCGATCATATACGCGGCGACTTCAACAGGAACGGTGGCTTACTTTACCGAAAGGGTGAGGGCGCACGGCCCGTGAAGTGGGGGGGGCGGGCCAGCAAGTGCTTTGATGGCAGTGGTTGGGCCCAGCCGACACTCGCGGGTGTCAATGAGCGTGTCCATACCGCTGATGCAGGGCGGTGGGACGGGGGCGACCGGCGCCGGTGGCGGC